AAAATATTACATTATTTTATTCATTTCCGTTTTCAAGGCTGCACTGGTCCCAATTGGTTAGCATATGCGACCTCCGATTAAAAGCTTAGTCACGATCTCAAATTTCAATAGATTATTGGAGACTGATAAGTGCGTTTTTAGATTCCGTTCACGTTTATCTAGACCGGAACGGTCCATTTGCATAAGGTCCCACTGGGCCCGAGATAAAAATATTTAGCTGAATTTGTTGCGCGCGCGACGAATCAGCTGACGACCTATACGACGACCTAACGACCTAAACGACCTAAATATATACTAGCTAGTGCGGTTTTGTAAACGGAAGTTAATGAAACAATGCAACATTTCGAATCACTGCGATGCGGAAATCACCGATGAACTGTCATCTATGCCCTGATGTTTACGCGTAGATGTCATTTTTCGCACTTCCGGGAATACTGCTTGGTGGCGGATGCAGCCTAAACAGCTGACAGCTGCTGACCATCCTGTCCGGACCATCCGTCATGCCGTCACCTTACTGTCAGCCCAACCGTCCTGTGACAAGGAAACACGTTGCAGGCAATTGTTCTCTGAGCACTTGCGACGTAAAGTAAGCTTACACTTTTAGTCTACTGCCTTAAGGGGACATTCTGGATTAGGCATACTGGCAGAAAAGAGAGAGTGAACAGTCACGAAGGAATTTCACATAAAGCTGACTGACACCTGCCCTGAGAGTGTCAAAAATTATTTATCCCCACCCGCGCTCGCAATAAGCACCCTCGTATCTCTACATCTTGCAACTACATCTTTGTATCTCGAGCCCAATTGCGCACCATGTAAATGGACCGTTCTACCGTTCTGGCGTAGATGATTGTGAACGAATTCTAAAAACGCATATATCAATCTCCTACACTCTCTTGAATTTTGAGGTCACGACTAGATTTAGTCGGAGGTCATATATACTAGCCAATTAGAGCCAGTGCGGTTTTGCAAACGGAATTAATGAAATAATGCAACATTTCGAATCATTGCGATGCGGAAATCACCGATGAGCTGTTATCTATGCCTTGATGTTTACGCCTAGATGTCACTTTACGCATTTCCGGGAATACTGCTTGGTCGAGGATGCAGGATAAAGGAAGCTAATGGGACAAATTGGATGTTCGGTTCGGGATTGAGAAGCATACATATCATAATAAGTGCCGCTCTTTCACACGCTTTGGAACCCAGCGGCCTCCTACGACTCGATGCATCCGCCCCCGCACCGTGTAGAATTTACCGGGATGTCGCAGCCACTTGGGTATCAATACACAACCCATCCGAAATTGCAGACGTTGAAATATGAGTCACCATCTCAAAATCCGCTCCCTGGATCCCGTTCGAACTCGCTCGTCATTTATTTCAACCATCTGTGCAATATGCGCGCATTTGTTACGGGACATACGGTTGTCAGGAGGCCGACAGCTATGACATAAGCATACGTGTACCGATTTCAGCACCGCGAACAGCGTAGGTTCATCGCGACATCGCGGTTCCTGCGTGACTTCTGCCTCCACCTATGGTAATGCGGTCTCCACAAGATAGTGGGTGGTTCTTTACGATGCTCACGCACTGGGTCATTTCTGTCACAAATCAGGTTTGAATAGGTAAGGTCAGTTGCCACTACAAGACTGAAAGCCAGTTATTTGTCCTGACACGCTCCCAACAAAGCGAGTCCTTGCCCGCACCCGTGAAGGGTGGGGCTCCAAAACTTTGTAAGGACCTGCTACAGTACTGTCCAGGAAAAGTTGATAATGTCGTATCACTCGGCTTTGAGAAGTTTGGCGGTAAGAATAAAAAGCCGATCGAGGCCGAGTAGGCCTGCATGGAGAAAATGTTAACCATTCAGACATATGGTTGTATGGTGACGATGTTAGAAACTGGCTTCACAATGGGCTATGCATGACACCAGAAGCTCGTGAATACCGAAATATGCTCAAACATACTTTGCTGCAAGATCGCTACTGTGCACATATCGACCGGCGGCGGGGTTGCAAGGATGCAACGGTGGCCAAGGGCGGATCCAGGCCGCCATCTTGAAGTGAGCCCGGCTTGGTGGACGAGAGGAGGAGGAGATGAAATCGCAAAGAAGCATAATTTTCAAGAACTCATTAGATTTTGCTTCTGCTTACCTTAAGTAGCGTGCTCAAACAGCCTGCTCCTGGAAAAGCTGCTTTGATTTTCCTGGATGTCCAGAAATAAATGTCTTTATTTTTGCTCAACTTGAGCAAACTAGGGAGAGCGGGGAGGTACAGCCCGGGTGTTCCTCCCCTCCCTGAAACCTGGAGGAAGTTTAGAAGATTAAAAAAAGAAACTGGTCTCTTGAAAAACAGCACAATCCGATGGCTTATTTTTTAGGAACTTTGGGGACTTAGATTCCCTGCTGCCTTTAGCATAGACTCTTTAACCATGACGCCTCTCTCTTGACCTGACCGGCTGCGCCGCTGGCAACAGCCCTGCTCAGCGGATCCAATGAAAAGGGCTTCGCCACCCCTTTGACCCGCATCTCAATTTTATTTCATGCTTTTGATAGAAATTCGATCACCAATATATGCCTTATGTTTGACAATACTCACAGTAAAACCCATTACCGCTGATAAGATATGTGTGTAAGGCAACAACACTAACAGTTGGATATGCTCGCAATGCATACGATGAGAGCATGCTAAAGTATCAGCAAAGTAAATTTCCCGGCGGTGGTGCACATGTGCACCCGAATATGTACATATAAAAGCTTGCCGCGCAAATAGGTGGTTCCGCTTTGGCTTCACAAAAGCGTTGTTATTCATGGAACTGATAATTATGGTATAGGTTTTTACAGCCAACGGATGGAAATGTGAACAAGCGGCCCACTATATACCTAGGTGGCAACAGACCACTGAAGTCACTTTTGTTTGAGTTCGCACCCCGGCTGCGACATGGCCACTGAGCGCTAATGTGGCTCATAAAGCCGCTGGCGCTCAATAGAAGGGTGCACGATGGCGTGCGTTGCGTTCCCTTGTTCAGTTTCATCACAGATAGAAGTCGTCGCTTCCTTGCCGATTGTCTACATTCAAACGCAATATAATGCTAGGCGTTGGTGATTAAGTTTACCTAACATCCGTTGGCTTTCGAAACTGTGGAACTCATATTGTTTATGCATCGCTCGAATCACATTCATCAGCGATTAGTTTGTTGCAAATATCCCTGCCTCTTTATGACACTCAGAACAAGAAACATAATCTTCATTATTTCCACGTAAGCGACCCAAAACATGCCGCATTTTTCATGGACATGGCCGTGTAGTTTACTACAAGAAAGCATATCGCGTCAAACGTCAACTAATTGCGAGAGCTTCGCCGCTCTCTGCCACCACCACCACCGACATTTTCATACTCGGGTCGCGACGTACCACTTGAGTGGCACTACGACTTAAATGGCAGGTGCAAGCTATCGATTTTGTATTTAACCATGCACTGTAGAGTTCGATTCCCTGCTTTGTCCGTCCATTCTGCTAGGGTGGGACGCAGGTGTCGCCATATATGCTCAGAGGCATTTCAAAACCCTTACACAGCCCTTCACTGCAGGGTAAGCTGCCTACAAGATGTAGCTTTCTGCTGGTTTCATTCAGGTAAGTTAACGGTGGCTAGCCAGTCGAGTCGTGCTGTGCCTCACTTATCTGGCGGCATTGATGAGCCAATTTCGATTCATCACGTTTTTTTCAATATTGATGAGCGAATTCATCAGCTTCTCGATTGGTTGAACGTACGCCATGTACATGCATCTGTACCTACGTCTAGCCCTCCACAATGCAAAGAGGATGAAGTTTCTCGATTAGAAAATAACTGAAAATGTGCTGACCGAAATCTCGGGGAATTTTGTTGCGATGGGGCGGGCATCAAGTTCCGTGAGGCACCACAGTGAAGCATGGCCCCTTCCTTGGCGAGATTTTAGATTCGCCCTGGTGGTGCGTCTAAACGAAAAGCTGTAGGTATTTGTGTCGCTTCTACTGTAAATGTTGACATCCATGGCTCGACCAGTGACGTGCACAGCGCAAGGTCCATTGCAAAGGCGCACTTAAATTTCACATTCACTCACAGCTGTCTGAAATGCCGTGGCTGCACCCAATTTCATCAGCACAGTACCAAAACCTTTCGAACCGACTAGCTTAGTTGTTCGATGTGTCATATCTTATGGACGCATCCAGATATAAATTTAGGTTTTAAACGTATTTCCTATTTGCCAAATTTTAAGTGCACCATTTTGAGCTATATGTATTTCTCCAACTCAATATTGCAGGGGCCATCCCAACATTAGGGGAGACCAGCTCCACATTTGGGAGCGAGAATACACCCCAAGAGATACAAAGTTGGCCGCCCTTGCTTATCACTAAATTATGACCTAGCATGGATATGATCCATGGTAGAAGCTGGATCAAGAATCGTCCTTGCGACCTCACCAGATGCCAAGCTTCTTTTGATATTCTTCATGGCCCCTAATTTAGCTGGGATGCTGGTTCTGATTTGGGCGAAGTGATCTTTCGGAGTTCACAAGCTTGCCTCGTGATTTATCATACATATTTGCATGAGATCCTTCCTCCTGAGCCAGGATTTGCTATGTTGTCTTTTTCCAAAAATTTCACGGCATCCGTAATCCCTTTTCAAATTGTGCCAATATTTTCCAGTTTTTTTAGGATCCTTTGGTATACGAAACACACTCCTACTATGCCACCAAGGTGCGCTCTCGTACACAAATAATGGTATATGATCGCTGTTTATGCCGTTGATTGCACTAGCATAGGAATTCATGATACGATATTGCGCCGCGCTGGGATTCACGCCGGATATGCGTTTCATGGTGTATTTGTGTCTCATAAAAGTATTTTCAAATATGGTACCAAATCATATGGAGCGAGCTGGTATTCATTTAGGACGCGACTGTGACGAATACCAGGCACTAATTTCATATATTTCGCACGTTGCCCGGCATAGCCCCGGTGCCTTGGTGGAATCGGTTGGCATTCATGCAGATTGGTGCGGTATTGTTTCGGTGATAAATGTGAAATGCGTGAGGTCCATTTTTGGGAAGCACACATCTAGCAATCAGTACCCAGGTGTTGTTAAGTGTGGAGCCCGAAATATTTGAGGTGCGCGGAGGAGTTCAAGCCCAGGCAAGTTCTAGTTAATTTATATAGAACAAGCATGAGGTCCCGGGACGCGTGCCGCCTTAAGGCAGTTGAATCTTAATTTTCGTGATGTCCTTGAAACGGGTCTGACGAGTCCAGGTTATATGACTGTATGACACAAGAGTGTAGTTTCCTGTCCAGTTTGGGCACTTCAGTCCACCCCCAACTTAAGCTTCAGCACCCACCCACCCCTCAACTTTGGGAAGGAATTGGGCTTTATCTGGGGAGAAGACTGTTTGGTGGCATAATTAGGAGTTGTTTGGGTCATTTTTCATAGGTAAGCCCTCCTGTACCTCCTTCTGTAAAACTACACTGCTGGTATATCACTCTGGTTCCGGCAGGGAAACGTGCATATTTCCTGTCAGGAATGAGAGCATGTTTTGAAGGAATGATTGGTGTGCATGTTAACTGGCATTTGTAGCTCACTGATAATTCCTTAAGCCTTTGCCCAAAAAATGTGATTCTTTGTAGCACATTTTGAGCTGAGAAATCACTGAACTCACCAATATAGTGCCATTTGATGGCACCCAGTGTCATTATGGCATGTGGCTTTTGACCAGTAAACTGTTGGCCAGGATTAAATAAATCTCAAATTTGGCAAATGTGATGCAATCCAACATGCCAAACACATGCTGTTCAGATGTGTGATGTTGCACCAACTAAGATGGGAATAGCCTAGACTGTCTATTTTAAAGAATTTATGTGCTGAAGTGAACTTAAGCTTTATTAAGGCTGCCTTGTGTCAAGCATGATCAGATCATATTTCCAGTTGAAGATCATGTCTAGAATATCAGCATATATATATATATATATATATATATATATATATATATATATATATTATATATATATACATACATATTTATATATGTACACTAACAGTGGGCAAATAATGCTCAAATGTTTCCAAGGCATCATGTTTTTATGATACCACTTTTCCTGTTGTTCATACATACTATGACTCACGCATTAGGTATTGATATTCTATGCTGATAAGTTCATCAGTGTTAATGCTTAACATGTGCCTGGGTGGCCAGCTAGATAGCCTTCATTTGGGTGGGGGGTCAATTTGAACCTCCTGAGGTCTCAGGAACTAAGAGAGCTAGGGGCACAAAATTTACAGGGTGTGTTGAGCTGTATGTGAACTCACTTAGGTCAAAGTTTCAGTTTCCTAGGTAATGACCTTTACGTCAAAAAAGGTCAAACAAGGCCAAGTTATGGGTTGGTCTCCAAAGTGCTCCGAGAACCTAGATAACTGTTTCTAAGGAAAAGTTGACATGCTCATTTAAGTTCAGTCACCTTGTTTGACCTTTTGAAGGTCAATATGACAAACATCATTCAAGATTGCTTTGAGTTTTGCATTTGACTAAGCAACAAAGATTATGCTAGGCAGTACGGTTCTAAAACAAAATGTTGACCTGGGTCCTTTTGGGTCAGTGACCTATTCTGACCCCTGAAAAGTCCATAGATGATGTATAATATGGTTCCTGCTATCAATAAATTTGAAATGAGCACCAGAAACTATCCCATACAGCAAGCCCTAGAGTAACAAAACAGGTTGGTTTTGACATTGATGTGACCCTCATACCTGACCTTAGGTCAATGTAATATGCTCATTCAGCCATTGTGTTGCCTAAGAAAGCATTTCAGAGATGTATGGCTTCGTCTAACACTCTATCGTTGGATCAAATTGAAGGACTCTCTAGAGATTGCCTTTGCTGAAACCATGGCCTGACTTTGACCCGCCATAGGTCAGTGACCTTACAAGGTACATCTAACTTTTTTATGCTAAGCGATCTGCTACTCAATTGTCTGCAGCCACGCAAAATGTGGCACGGCTGCGCCGCGCCGTTCAAAAACCATTCTGGAAAAACCTTCAGGGGGATCAATTTGACCCCTAACCGAGCTCGTGCTAAGGCTCGTTTTGGCCATATGCTGGAAAGTAAATGTGTTGCTAGTATGTTGTGGGCTAACATTCCTTTTGAGCATGAATTGATTACATCTTCAAAATGGATGTGAGTCTTCACAAAGTAAATTTTTACTCTAAGTGACTTCTTACCTTTTATTCTTGGTTGTGAGGCAATAGCCCAAAACTGTCAAAATCTATCAACTTGGCCACCATTTTGCATAGAAGTTGTTGGTCAACGAATGAAAGGATGTGGGAAAAGAAATGTGAGTTAGGTGTAGGATCTTTGCAGAGTGCTTTCAGTGCAGCACTGAAAGCTCATCACATAATGCTCCAACCACTCTACATTCATTCTACCTCACCCCATGCCAGTGTTTGGTAAGACTTCAGACTTAGGTCCTGTTGGGCCCAATCTCATAGAGCTGACATGTTCCTAGAAATGCAGCAAATTTATGTCCAGGGTATTGGGACAGCATGCCTACAATTAAACTAAAACTTTGGATTTAGTCTGACATTGTATTTCAATTATTCACTGTTATAATGCCCAGGTGGTTCCCTTTTCTGTTCCTTCCTTAGAGTGTGGAGGATATCAGATGTCATGTTGCAACCAGATGACTCAGTGCTTGGGTCTCTGCCAGAGTGTGATCTTTCGGAAAGGCCCTGACTTCCTGGGTAGTGGTGTGATGTGACTTTTGAGGTATAGTGTCCCAGTCAGTGGTGTTATGGTTTGCTTGCCCTCTCAGTTTCACAGGGAGTGGCAAACACAGCTTTGGGCATTGGGTCAGGGGGAGAAGCAGAAAGCAAAGCTCCCTCCACTTCCAGCATGGGAAGCTTTAAACATCAATCCCATGATGTGGCATGGAAGGAAGCAGCTGAATATCAGTTCTGTCATCACCCCAGCTCCAAAGTGATCCTGGTGGCACCAGACACAGTGGGTTTGTGCGTCATCTGGGGGGTTGTATGGCTATGGTGGATGGGGGAAGCGCCTGCTACAGTGACCTTGCCACAGTCATGTTCGGCACAGCTGCCCCTGAAACCACGGAGTTGTGCCATCTGCATACACTGAGAGCCAATGAATGAGCAGTGCTCCCTATGCAGCTTATTTTGGGAATGCTCCATTGACTTGTATTGCTGGTGCTGTATGGATGGGGGAATGACTGCACACTGAAAATGAGTGAACACTGTACCATGCACAGCTTTCTGAGAACACCGATCATGAGCATGCGTGATACATCTCCCGACGGAAGTGTGCGTAGTATCGGATTCAGAGGCCGATGCAAGTGACAAGTGCCTCGCCTTTCACCCGAAGACCAGACCTTAATGCTTTCCTAAATGTTTAAAGGTAAATACTCAGATGTGGAAGCTCTGACTGTCTTGAGGGGTCATGCCTTGGTTACCCCCTTGATTTGTTAATGATCTAAGCTGACAGGTCAACTGATCAGCAGCCCTGAACCGCCCACACAACTGATCAGCAGCCCTGAACCGCCCACACAGCTGATCAGCAGCCCTGGAACGCCCTCACATAACTGATCAGCAGCCCTGAACCACCGTCACATAACTGATCAGCAGCCCTGAACCCCCACACACAACTGATCAGCAGCCCTGAACCGCTCACACAACTGATCAGCAGCCCTGAAACGCCCATACACAACTGATCAGCAGCCCTGAACCGCCCATACACAACTGATCAGCAGCCCTGAACCACCCACACACAACTGATCAGCAGCCCTGAACCGCCCTCACATAACTGATCAGCAGCCCTGAACCGCCCACACACAACTGATCAGCAGCCCTGAACCGCCCACACAGCTGATCAGCAGTCCTGAACCGCCGACACACAGCCGATCAGCATCCCCGAACCGCCCACGGTGCCTGACGGTGTACCGGACCGCCTGTTTCAGGGATGTCGGAGGAGAAGCTGAGGCGATATGAGAAGATCGACTTCTTGGGAGAGGGCCAGTTCGCCACCGTCTACAAGGCGTGCGACAAGGAGACGGGCCAGATCGTGGCGGTGAAGAAGATTAAGCTGGGCAGCCGTGCCGAGGCCGAGGACGGTATCAACCGCACGGCGCTGCGGGAGATCAAGCTGCTGCAGGAGCTGCACCACGAGAACGTGATCGGCCTGCTGGACGTCTTCGGCCACAAGTCCAACGTCTCGCTGGTGTTCGACTTCATGGACACCGACCTAGAAATCATCATCAAGGACATGTCACTGGTGCTGAAGCAGTCGGACGTCAAGGCGTACACGCTGATGACGCTGCGCGGACTCGAGTACCTGCACATGAACTGGATCCTACACCGCGACCTCAAGCCCAACAACCTGCTGGTGACGAGTAGCGGCGTGCTGAAGCTGGGCGACTTCGGCCTCGCCAAGTATTATGGCTCGCCCAACCGGCTGTACACGCACCAGGTGGTGACGCGCTGGTACCGGGCGCCCGAGCTGCTGTTCGGCGCGCAGATGTACGGCACGGGCGTGGACGTGTGGGCGGTGGGCTGCATCCTGGCGGAGCTGCTGCTGCGCATCCCCTTCCTAGCCGGCGACTCGGACCTCGACCAGCTCACCAAGATCTTCATGGCCATGGGCACGCCCAACGAGGAGACGTGGGCGGGCGTCAGCTCGCTGCCCTCCTACGTCAAGTTCAAGCAGTTTCCGGGCACGCCGCTGCAGGACATCTTCACGGCGGCGTCGGACCCGCTGCTGGACGTGCTGCGCCAGCTCCTGGCGCTGGACCCGGCGCGGCGCGGCACGTGCGCCAGCGTGCTGCAGCTGCCGTACTTCAGCGCCCGGCCGGCGCCGACGCCGGGCCCGCTGCTGCCGCTGCCACCGGACATCTCCGCTAAGAAGAAGGAGGTGGAGCGGCCCAGCATCAAGCGCCGGATAGTGGAGTCGGCGGAGGATGCCGGCATTGGCGGTTTGGCCAAAAAGCTCATCTTTTAACGCGGCGCGAGTGTTAGCGACCGTGCTGAAGGCATCATCTCACGCGTGGATGCCTCTGTCAGTCATGTGAGCTGTGTTTTGTGGGCTGGTTTGAGCGAGGTATCTTGCTTGGCGGCTGCGTGCGGACGCCAAGCTAGGACTCGAGTGACTCGAGAGGTAGGAAGTTAGAAGCAAGTTATTTTTGTGATCACCGCCTGCCATTTTTGCGCGAGCGGCAATTGTTATGTTTGTACGTTGTTAGAAAAAGTTAAACGAACATGCGTCGAGGTATATGCAGTGGCGGAAACATTTGTTTTCAGCATTTGCTACCTCAATAAAAGTTGTCTGAAATGCAGCTTTCCGTCACCAGATGACTGGATTTTGTGTCATTTGGTAGCTGAAAGCGGATTGCCATGGTTGCCACAGTAACCGCTGGCGAACTTTCCCACTAGCGTGTTCTCATTTAACAAGGGAGCCACGTTTCTCACATGACATGCATGTTATGCTTTGTCAACTCAGCTATGGCACCACTCATATAAACGCAAATCATGCGATTGCAGTCCACTGTCTTATTGTACCTGTGCGGGCTGTGCTGTCTGAAGACATTAGGCCAATTTGTCCACGCCACTTTAATCCTGTTGGCGCTTCACTTACATAAATTAATTGTCGGCGTAATAGCAAACATTACTGTGCAATACTGCCAGGATCTATCACCCACGTAGACCGTGCTCAGTGTGTTGGTTGGAGGTTGGTGCAACAATCCATCAGCTATTTATGGATAGTTCCGGAACTGCCAGAACGAACATAATTAGCGATGGTGAATGTATGTATTATCGTGCATCAAAGCAGGAGCCGTATATTTCATCGATGGCTACGGCACTACAAGGCGACGGAGTTTTGCTATTATTGCCGGCCGCTGGTTTGAACAGGGCCTGCATTCTAAATTGGCATGTGCTTTAACAGAAGGCAGCCGAAGCTAGGTTCCCGATTATACGCACTCCGCCATCGCTGTCGTAAGTCATAGTTCCCAGAATGCTGTAAAGGTAGCTCGCCCATTCGGGTGCAAGAGTGCAAGTCAGATTTGGGATGCAATCATATGCACCCCCGACATTTCCATATCAGACCATTCGTTGGGTCTCAGTATGACCTCCAATTCAGCGCAGTCTCGCGGCGCGGCCGCGGCAGGGCCACTGTGCGCCAGGTATGGACACCATCAAATGGCTTGGCATTGACCCGTCGTATATCAGTGTTTACTGCTTGCATCATCTTCCCGGGCCGTACGCACTTGGCTCCGGAGCAGGGCTGCGTTTGCCTGCCCGCGCCGCCCACGCCGTATTATTGGTCCACCTCAGCACCGCGGCCAGCCAAACAAACGCCTCCAATCTTGACCCGCTGAAAGGGAAAGGAGTGAAAACATCGCATTCCATGACTCACAACCCTTACAAATCCGACCCCAACTTGTGAAGAGGGCCGACCCCAAGGTGAGTTGCCCAACGTGCTCCAATGGCAGCAATTATTTCCACCAATGGCCGATAACCCGAGCCGACCCAGCGCCGGTGAAGTGTCCAACAGGGCCGGCGGACGTTGGGGCGTCTCCCAGCCAGTGCCGCACCTGGCCGGCGCCCGGATCCGAGCTGACGCACTCGGAGGGCCGGGTGGGGGACACGCGCGGGTTAGGAGTGCCGCTCGCGACACGCAGCGTGGGGTCGACCGACCGTCAAGAAGTGAGGGCGGTATGCTGCGCTGTCGTCATTGAACCAATGGTGTCCCCATCAGCTTGACACAATGCGCGATTTGAAGTTGGCTTTTGCTAGTTTGTTTCTGTGACTAAGTGCGTCGAAATGAACATCCCTTCGACCAAAGTACTGCCTTTTAATTGCTTTACGAACACACTTTTTTCTCCCGCGCCGAGAAGAACATAATGCGGTTAAAGCCGCACATCTTCTCGGAAGAAACAGGAGCAGATGGAGCTGTCATAACCTAAAAAACGTTTCCAAGGAAACGCGATGTTTTACCCCCCCCCCCCCCCCATACTCTCGTGAAGCCCAGTCGGTCCTTGCACTGGGGCCTCCGCTGCGATGGCCGGATTGGAGTCAATGGCGGTGATGCTGCATGTGCTGCGGAGCTTTACTTATCGATATTTGAGAACGAGGCAGAATCGTTGGATTCTGTTGACCATCGACCAGCGCAGAGACGATTCCGGGGCGCTTTTTGTACGCATTCCGACAGGACTGTGGTTGAGAGACTAATGCAGTAGCGTATTGCGTCCGTAATTGGGTATGCAGCGTGGTACTCGTTGGTTGAGCGTACAGCGTTCAGTTGCGTCTGTGTGCTAGAGATGCACAATTTTCTTTTTAAGATCGCGTCAGCGGTGTCCCGTTACTAGCCTACGCGCTGACTATGGAGAAGGCGGGGTAGGGGCAGGCCACCGCCCTCTCATGTCCTTTTCGGGAAAATTTGGAGAACGGCTTAAGTTATCCTCCTTGAAATGTTCAGTATTTTCCCCTAACATAATGCCACGTAAACTCTGAAAGATAAATGCTCTCGTCATCTTAGGCCAATGGCGTAGGGTAGTTTTGGTTTGAGAATGTTGGATCCAAAATGTGAATAAACTTGAAGTGCTATGACAGTGCGTTATAATGTGAACTTCCCATTGTCTTCATAGTTTGCTCACCAATTAACTTCACTCCTTGACATTCCAATGACATAACGTGGTCATCATAGGGGACTGAAACAACTTGACATTAAGCTCGTCCTTGATGACATCCACGCTATGAAAAAATGGTTGGTTTTGTTGACCCTTTATCTAACAGCATTGCTTGTGCAACGGTGGCATTTGGACCGCAAAGATCACCGTAGGTCATAAACCTAACCTGACACGGCGGGCCGCACTTTGATACCTCACGCGACACTGCCGATATCTCGCGGTCCTATATGCCCCATTTCTCCATAATAAACTAATGAACAAAATGGACATGCCGGACTAAAGCCACCGGGGTTTGGCAGGTACTGGCATTAGGACCAGCTTGCGATGCACGTGTGACGAATCAGTACTTCTGATACCTACCAGCAAATTATACCAGGAATACTACAATACCAGCGAATGATACCTACCACGACATTGCCAGTCACGTCACTTCTCCACCGCCTGGCAGTGATTTAGCGCCGGACGCCGGTTTCGTGATACCTAGATCTTTCACCTCTAGCGTACAACACTCCTGATAGCGTTCACCAGTCTTGCACGGAACTTTACCCTTGTCGTCAAGTCGCCGACAAACTGATCCTCGTACTTTTTAGAGACGTGCTTGATCGCAGGTCGTGTGTATTTTCAGGTTCAGCCGCGTCGAAAGATTGCTCTTCAAATACTAAGGCTGCCCGTGCGTGAGCCGGCACACCGGACGCCAGCCAACCGCCTGGCTGTGCGCAGTGGATGACGTCGGCGAATGTTCGGATAGCCGGTCCTCCCAAAGCCGCTCCTAATCTGGCCGCCTGGTGCGAGACGCTCACCTCTGCCGTCCGTCGCCTGCCGTTTTCACCTGTTAAATATTGATGGAGCCGTTCTGCAGGTTGTCTGTGCCTATTCCGCAGACGTGTACTGTTGGCGATGAGAGTTTCGCTGGAAACTGGTCGGGAGCGCGGCTATGACGGAGCTGCGGGGCATGTACCGGACGAAAAAACGTCACATTCCGTCAAGAATGCAGCCAGCCTCGGTGGTCGGGGAGTGATTCTATTCCGGTTGAGGATGACAAGGTTATCCCATCATCTTTCTGCAGGCCCTGTTGAGTTCTGCAGCCCTGCTGGAGTGTGAATGTTAAGGATCTAGGGCTGCAGACTCGTGCAGACGACTGCAGCGTAGGGCGCAGCTGAATGAATCTTTTGTAATGCTGGCGAAACTGACATTGTCCGCTACATAACCCGAGAGCCGTCGGAGGCAGCCTCATGAAAACTCATATGTTCTGAACCAGCATGGCGAGAGGACGCCTTATGTAACATTGCACATTGCAGTCCAGATCACAAGCAACGAGACAGGTGCAGCCCGAGCAAAGCCTGTCCCAGAGTTAGCATTGGCGACAATCGACTCCCCGCCACGTTATCAGAACAGCAAAGAATGTCGGCTGTCACGTGCTGATTGATTGCATATCTGCCAGTTGCGAAGAGACGAATGATCGGAAACCAGACCATAACGACCTACAAGAACCTACAAACACAAATTTGTGGTAGTTGTTCTGAGAGGTTCCAGTGCACCTGTTTATCCGCTGCGATTATAAATTTCGGCGTGACGTGTAGTATATGACGAGCAGAACATCAGCAAGTATATCACCACCAACGTGTGCGCACTCAAATCACGACAGAGCAGCGGGCAGTTTGCCAACCAACTCCTACAAGATGGTAACGGCCAGCTCCAGACCCAAGGTGGCCAAATCAAGCTTCACTACGGGGAGAGCGTATATTTCCAAAAGACCTCTTGGTCAAGGGCCTTTCCGACCTGAAGGAACGGACCAAGGGGCAGCCTGGCTTAGCGAGCAGGTCATCCCAATCGCCGAAAATTTCGCTGCTGATAGTATGGAACCCAGGCTTCTGGAGAAGCAGCGTGGAGAGGACGAGGACCTGCAAGTCGGTGGAAGCTCTCCCACGCCCAGAAGGAGCTGTTCAACTACCAATTGGAGCTTCTGAGCAGCCTGAAGCCATCAAGACTTCCATCACACGACTTGGTGTTGAAGTTGGGGTGCCCATCGGGCTTCTACGAAACCTTTAAGCTCAGCAATGGCGGACCATCATGGAACAGCAAGGACAAGGACGGCAGCGTCTTTGGCCCGCAAATGCCGTTCGCGCCCGACACATTTCCCGTCTGACACGCCGCTCGAGTTCGAAGCGGATCCAGTCTTACTGCCGAGCAGAGCTACACCACCACTATGAACGAGAGCCCAGGTGAGTCTTCAGAAGGTAATGGGTATCAGCCAGACATATCTATTTGTAATTCTGTTGTGCTCTGGCCTTCCCAATGTTGAGCTAGGCCAAAAATGTTGGTGTGCCACCCTCATGTGCTTGAATGGGAGTACATAACAAATGTAGGATAAGGCTGACTATCACACAATGCATTTTGTCTTGGAACATTATTTTGCCGGTCATTTCTCCTCAGCTGCTCAAATTAAGGACTATTTTATTCATTTTACCAAAATATTTCCTTCGTAAAAATGAAGTGTGCTGAATTCCTGGAGAAACACCCTAGTGGGTAATTGAGACTGGTGTATATCGCCTGCTCTGGAGATTGCATGCTGCCATTTATCCTCGATTTTCTGGAAGTTGATTGTCTGGTGTTGGGGCATTGTTGAGCTTGTATTGGCTGCATT